GTTGTTGTTGTTCTCTTTAAATTGATGCCAAAGCAATAAATACAGAAATACAGAAATAAATGTTTTAGTATCAATTTGTTTCTGATTTCCGATCCTTTTGACAAACCTACTGTAAAAACCTGGACTCTCTCTGCTCATCTGCACTACAAGAACATGACCTAAAGTGACACGAAGAGCCCTGAGTCACCGAGGAGGAATTACATACTTAAGAGCCGCTCAGGTTTGGAAAAAGAAAACACCTCGGCCCACCCACTTTTGTCGAGGGCTTAGACGACCCCAAAAACATGAGTCAAACAGAAGAGTGTTTTTTGCCGCTGCTTCCTCGCGCTCCAGGACAGCGGCAGAATCATGTGTCTCGCTCTGTAGGAGATGTAGAGCACTGAGCCCCTCCCCCTGCACCCAGCCCCTGAGCAGAGCTGTCTGTCCTGTGGGTGCTGAGGGCCGCCCGCACTCACACGTCTCTGGACAAACCAACGACAATTTCCCTGATGTCGTAAAGAGCCTGTCCTTCCTCTCTCTAACTCTCTCTCCCTCCTTTCCTTTTTTCTCTCCTCATCTCCCTCTCTCTCTCCTCGCCAACCCGTGGGTCATTGGATCTGACCGCTGTACCAGTGACGTTTACGACGAGGGCGGGTTTTGAACCGCCAACCTTTGGATCAGTGAACAAACGCTCTGCCAACGTAATGACAGTGGCATGTTTCTGATACAACGAGAAATACTGCCCCATCTTCTATGCCCCGTACTCTATGTTCTGTCCTCTATGCCCTGTCCTCTATGCCCCGTCCTCTATGTTCTGTCCTCTATGCCCTGTCCTCTATGTTCCGTCCTCTATGCCCCCTCCTCTATGTTCTGTCCTCTATGCCCTGTCCTCTATGCCCCGTCCTCTATGTTCTGTCCTCTATGCCCCCTCCTCTATGCCCCGTCCTCTATGCCCCCTCCTCTATGCCCCCTCCTCTATGCCCCGTCCTCTATGCCCCCTCCTCTATGTTCTGTCCTCTATGCCCCCTCCCTCTATGCCCCGTCCTCTATGTTCTGTCCCCTCTATGCCCCTCCTCTATGCTCCGTCCTCTATGTTCCTTGTCCTCTATGCCCCCTCCTCTATGCCCCCTCCTCTATGCTCCGTCCTCTATGCCCTCCTCTTGTCCTCTATGCCCCCTCCTCTATGCTCCGTCCTCTATGCCCCTCCTCTATGCCCCCGTCCTCTATGCCCCCTCCTCTCTATGCCCCGTCCTCTATGCCCCCTCCTCTATGCTCCGTCCTCTCTGCCCCCTCCTCTCTGTCAGACGTGGGCATTGTCCAACTCTCAGTCCACATTTGGCCCTTTGGTTTGACTCTGACCTGTTCCTTTAAGCTCATTTGGAATCACAAAATAAACATATTTTATCATTTGACCTCATGTCTGGACTAAAGCTGTTCGGCAGTCTCACTTTTTCATTGCTGAGTCAGAACATAAACTCTTCCCAGTCTGAGCAGCTCGTCTGAACAATGACATTTTCTGTTTCTCTTGTGGCCCCATGGAAAAAAATAATGGCCCACCCCTGATCTATGCCCCCTCCTCTCTGCCCCCTCCACACACACACACACACACACACAGATGTATCAGATGTAAGTGGCGGTGACGGCCCGAGGTCATAATTTGACGGTTCCTGTCACATAATTATAATCTGAGTTTTATGGCGACGCTGCGTCTGCCGATTTCACTGTGACTGTGATTAAGACCCAAGACCCCAGGGCAGAGACAGACGGGAGCAAAGAGAGGAAACCATACAAAAACGGACAGGAAAATGACAGGAAAATGAAAAGGAAAGCTACAGGAAAACTAGAGAAAAGCTACAGGAAAAATACAGGAAAATGACAGGAAAACTGCAGCAAAAACTACAGGAAAGCTATAAGAAAACAACAATAAAACAACAGCCGAACTCATGTAAAACAAACAAAAACTAAAAGAAAATACTACAGGAAAACAACAGGAGAATGAGAAAATGACAGAAAAATGACAAATGCATTTTGTGACACAAACATGCCCATGATGTTTATATCTGAACACTATTGTTGTATTTACACTTTGAAATCAATAAATCGCTCCTTCAAACAAACTAATAACTGTCAGAGTTTTTTAAATCATCCCCACCTCCCCCCACACAACATTCTGTTACTTGTCTTGACATTACAGAACAGGTGCAGAATAAGATTCTCCCTGTTCTGTTGTGGCCTCCTCAAAAGCAGATCTGGGTCTGTCTTCTTTGTGTTTTATTTCATTCATACTTGTTTCATTAACACACTAAAATCCAATCTAAAGTAGTCTAAATATGCTCTATTCACATGTTGTCTGTTTTGTTGCATCATAGACAAAAGTCTGGACTTCTCCTGTGCAGTTTTTAAACCCATAAACCATCACTGGAGTCACTTTATGATCAAACTGTGTTCACTATGGCCCTGTTAGTACAGCATGTCTCAGTTAGTACAGCATGTCTCAGTTAGTACAGCATGTCTCAGTTAGTACAGCATGTCTCAGTTAGTACAGCATGTCTCAGTTAGTACAGCATGTCTCAGTTAGTACAGCATGTCTCAGTTAGTACAGCATGTCTTCATGAGCAGAGCATTCATGGGCATAAGGAGTTTGTTTACACTCGTATTGTTCATTTGTGTTGTGAAAAGCAGAGGCAGCTGACTGGAAACACAAGTGTACTTTATGAAATATACAGGGACTCCCAAAAATATGACATCATCCTGCAGGCCAATCATTTGTGGCAATTCTTGTTGAAAATATTCACAGAGTGTACAGAAACAGTTCAAGATTTTATATTGAATCTTTTCAGTGTTTGTTTGTTTTCAGGTTGAGTCATTTTGTGTCTTGGAATCCGCTGCACACACAATGCACACAGCTTCAATGCAACAACTGGAAAAAACTTCACCAACTGGCAACAGATTTGGACCTGGTACCAAAAATGTACAGAGTTCAGCTGCTTCTGCTTCTGCAGGACTAAAGGATCTGGAACAACATCAACATCAGAAGAGAAGCAAGAGCAAGTTCATGAAAAACTCTTGCGAAGCCCCAAGACGTCCGTTTGCAAATCCAGATTCCTCAAATTCCTCAAATTGGTGGTTGGTGAAGTTTGTTTTTTTTTCAAAATTTTGCACTGGATTTTGCTGCACAGTCTTATGTGAGTGTGTGTGAGTAGATTCCAGGAAGCAAAATTATTAATAAATTAATGGTTGCATTTATATGTCGCCTTTCAAGACACCCAAAGCACTGAAACGATTTCTCTTTGGGATTGAATGACTCAACCTGAAAACAAAACAAAAATAAAACATCCAGTATAAAACCTTGACCTGTTTGTACATTCTGTGAAAATTTGAGGTTATTTCAACAAGAATTGCCTAAATTATTGGCCTGTGAAATAATGTCAACTTTTTGGGACACCGTGTATTTTCCAAAAGTGAAGTCAGAAAATGTGAAATACTGATCCTCAGCATCATATGTGTCCTTTAAATATTGTTTGCAATATGTAACTTTTCTGATGGAGAGTCTGCCACCTGCTTGTCTCCATGGAGATGTTACTGGTGTGCTTGAATGTTCCACAGTATGGCATTAAACTCATCCCCAACAGCCCACTCCTCTCACGCTAAGAATCTATTTTATCAAATTAACAAGGCCTTAAAGTGTGTCTGACTTCATTTGGTGGAATAATACAGGTAAATATAAATTATACTTTTACACAAATCAAGAAGCAATTTGTATGTATGTTAAAAATGACAGGAAGTAGAGTTCTATTTTAGAAAATTGTGTATTGATGACATCACACTGGGAGAATCCTGTCCAAAGGTTTGACATATTGTATGAACAAAATGAAGGTGTTTTCTTATCATTTTTATTTGTCAAACAGTGGTTTCTGTGTACTTTCTAGAGCTGCACCTCCAAACCCCAGACTGCAACAGCTCAGAACTGCCACACAAACAAACACTGTGAACCACAATGAACAAATGTCATTATACAGATTATTGTTGCACCAAGATGAACACATTATCAAGGACAGCAGATTTGAATTTAATTTATGATAAATGAATGATAAAAACATAGTCTAATAATGATTCAAAAACTTTAAGTCTGTGTATTGTCCATTAGCCTTAAACACTTTATTATAGAAGCAAAGGAGATTAAAGAGAAACAATCCCAATTGCTTTTTGTTTAACACCGTTCATATGGATAATATTAATGATGCTTAGAAACATGAACTGTAGAAAATCAAATCCCAAACTAAAGTTAAACTAATGATTTTTGTGACCTGAGGGATTTAACTGCTGGAGCATCTGCACATCACAGAGCATCGTACTGTCACTAGTTTATCCAATTCACATCAGTTAAACTTCAGTATCAGTAAACGTCAGGTACAGGGCTTTAAAATAAAGTCTGTTTTTTTTCACAAACATCTCCAAGGAGCTTTTTTTCATTATAGAAGAAGGTGAAAAATAAACCAGATGAGCAGATATTACAAGAATTAAGGCAAAATCTACACAATCTATTCTCAACTTGAATGTCATTAGTTTTAGGATAAATCATTGTCTATAATTTAATTTAATGACACACACACACACACACACACACACACACACAAAAGCAACTCATTCATTACCCATAATCCACTAGTGCTAACATGGCGTCCCTGTTGTGGGTGCAGCAGCTCTGTTGGAGTGGAGGTTATACTGTTACACTGTATCATACTGAATTCCAGACAAAACAATAACATCTCCATGGAGCAACCAAAAAAGTTACACAGTGCACCTTTAACTGTATCCAGACGTCTTAAGTTTCTGTTTCTTGTCCGCAGTAGTTCTGATAAACATGATCCAAGACCAGGCCTCAGTAAAATCATGTTTCACACTTTATTATTTAAAAACAGGTCAAACACATACACACATCTGTAGGAAACAAATATCTGTATCTGTATCTGTAAATATCTGTATATTAAACATGAGTTATCTTCAGATTCAGTTCTTACCTTCTGAGATGGCGTTGTTCTCTCGAGTGGCAGTGACGGTGGACCTGCTCTGAGACGCGACTGCAGACTGAGCTGAAGGAAACAAACACTGTTAGATTTCACATTCTTAATGAAGTTTTGAGTTTAATGACAGAATAGGCTCAAGTCGGCCGAACAGTCAGAGTAAATCATTTAGAGGAGGGCTGCTAAACTCCACATCAGATCCATATGATTATTGCACTGACACAAGTCAAACATTAAAACAGATATTATATACAGCTCTTCACTTTGACTTTTATTTATTATTTATTTCATCAGCCCACTATTTCAATTCCAGGCTAAAGACACCAAACTTTGTGGAAAGTCCTAATTCTTGTTGAAGTTTATAGTTCCAAAATAAACTGCCACTGCATTGGATCACTTGAACACTGTTCTGTCAAGCTTAGACACAGTAGACAGATACAGACACAGGGAGAACATGCACAACCCTAAGGACATAAATGTCCACAAAAAAGTATGAACACATATTCACCTATGATGATTTTACAGCTGTTTTGTGAGTGAGCTTTTATGTTTACGGTTCTGAATGTGACTTTTTTTAAAGAAACCCCTGAGGGTTAAAACAAGGACAGGGCACAGAAAAGATTCATCTCAAAGAGAAAACAAAGGCTCTGTGCCAGGTTTAAGTACGAGCTACTTCCCCTCTGCACCACCCTGGGCACGTACAGATCAAAGAAAAAAGAAGCTAAAAAGCTAAATAAAAATACAAATAAATACAAATAAATACATACAATCATATTTGAAGAATGTCTTCATTACAATTTGAAAATACATTGACTTTTCACGTTAAGTCATGTGACCTGTTGTTGTTTTCTCTCAGTGCAGCTGGGACCATAACAGAGTTGAGCTGCTGTGTGTACTCACTGGGGCTGTGCAGTACTGCATGTACATCTGATACACGAGTATATTCATATATATATATATATATATATATATATATATATATATATATATATATATATATATATATATATATATATATATATTATATAGATCATGTTGTGTGTTTGATTCAAATGTTCCTGGGGGAGGCACCTCCACATGCCCGGGTTTGGGTTCACCCCATGTGAACTCTGGCCCCTCTCTGGACATACCAGTAAAAATATCTACATGCATTTACTGGAAAGTACATGTGTTATTCTGAATGTGTGCACGTCTGTGTCTGGTTAGTGTTGTCATGATTTCAAATAGACTTTTGGAGAGTTGTACCTTCGAGTTTGGCCTGCAGGGGCTTGCTCTCCTCGCTTCCTCTCACGGTGTAGATGTTAAAGTTATATTCTTTAGAGGAGTCAAAGTGTTCTATGACCACTTTAGGGTCCTGTTTAGGCACGCTGACCTCTGTCTCTGCTCCACCTGAGGAAAAAAACAAGATATACAGTTAACTATGCAACGCTGAGTGAGCCAGACCCACACCGCCAGCTCAGCCTCTGTATGGTTACTGCTCATAGTCACTTTCAGAGTGTTATTGGAAAAGTCATCATGTAGCTCTGGTTGTCATGGTAATGTATTAGGATGTGTAGTTATAAAGAGGGATAAAATGTTGTATTTTAATTGTTTTGTGTTTTATTTCATGCTGTAAGTTGAGATAAGGCTGTGGGGTCACATTTGTTTTGTTAAAGTTATTTTTGCAGCATGTTAACGACCCCAAAACATTTTCCTAACCCTTGGCCTTGGTCATCAGAGGTACAGTATAATACTCCCTACAATGGAAGCATAGCAGGATTGAATGGACAATTCCACAAAACCAGTCTGTACTAAATCCAAATGTGCTCAGTGTGATCTGGTGCGTGCTCAGTGTGATCTGGTGTGTGGTTAGTGTGATCTGGTGCGTGCTCAGTGTGATCTGGTGCGTGCTCAGTGTGATCTGGTGCGTGCTCAGTGTGATCTGGTGTTTGGTGAGTGTGATCGGGTGCGTGCTCAGTGTGATCTGGTGCGTGCTCAGTGTGATCTGGTGCGTGCTCAGTGTGATCTGGTGCGTGCTCAGTGTGATCTGTGCGTGCTCAGTGTGATCTGGTGCGTGCTCAGTGTGATCTGGTGTGCGTGCTCAGTGTGATCTGGTGTGTGCTCAGTGTGATCTGGTGCGTGGTTAGTGTGATCTGGTGTGTGCTCAGTGTGATCTGGTGTGTGCTCAGTGTGATCGGGTGTGTGCTCAGTGTGATTTCTTGCGTGCTCAGTGTGATCTGGTGCGTGCTCAGTGTGATCGGGTGCGTGCTCAGTGTGATCTGGTGCGTGGTTAGTGTGATCGGGTGCATGCTCAGTGTGATCTGGTGTGTGCTCAGTGTGATCTGGTGTGTGCTCAGTGTGATCGGGTGTGTGCTCAGTGTGATCTGGTGTGTGCTCAGTGTGATCGGGTGTGTGCTCAGTGTGATCTGGTGCGTGCTCAGTGTGATCTGGTGTGTGCTCAGTGTGATCGGGTGCGTGCTCAGTGTGATCTGGTGCGTGCTCAGTGTGATTTCTTGCGTGCTCAGTGTGATCTGGTGCGTGCTCAGTGTGATCTGGTGCGTGGTTAGTGTGATCTGGTGCGTGGTCAGTGTGATCGGGTGTGTGGTTAGTGTGATCTGGTGCGTGGTCAGTGTGATCTGGTGCGTGGTTAGTGTGATCTGGTGCGTGGTTAGTGTGATCTGGTGCGTGGTTAGTGTGATCTGGTGCGTGGTCAGTGTGATCTGGTGCGTGCTCAGTGTGATCTGGTGCGTGGTCAGTGTGATCTGGTGCGTGGTTAGTGTGATCTGGTGCGTGGTCAGTGTGATCTGGTGCGTGGTCAGTGTGATCTGGGTGCGTGGTTAGTGTGATCGGGTGCGTGCTCAGTGTGATCTGGTGCGTGGTCAGTGTGATCTGGTGCGTGCTCAGTGTGATCTGGTGCGTGGTCAGTGTGATCTGGTGCGTGGTTAGTGTGATCTGGTGCGTGGTTAGTGTGATCTGGTGCGTGGTTAGTGTGATCTGGTGTGTGGTCAGTGTGATCTGGTGTGTGGTTAGTGTGATCTGGTGCGTGGTCAGTGTGATCTGGTGCGTGGTTAGTGTGATCTGGTGCGTGGTCAGTGTGATCTGGTGCGTGGTTAGTGTGATCTGGTGTGTGGTCAGTGTGATCTGGTGTGTGGTTAGTGTGATCTGGTGCGTGGTTAGTGTGATCTGGTGCGTGGTCAGTGTGATCTGGTGTGTGGTCAGTGTGATCTGGTGTGTGGTTAGTGTGATCTGGTGTGTGGTCAGTGTGATCTGGTGTGCTCAGTGTGATCTGGTGTGTGGTCAGTGTGATCTGGTGTGGTCAGTGTGTCTTTATCAACTTCCATTTCATAATTTCAAAAAGATCATCTCAAAATCAAAATGATTCATTTTGGAGAGGGCTGTCAAAAATCTGATACAAATCAATACTTACACTAGAATTGAAACTAGAGTCTCATTTTTCACAGGTATCGATAGTAAAAAAAAAAAAAAAAAAAGTCCCATTGACAGGACAGAGCAGAACCTTTCCTGAATTCCTGAATGTCTTTAGAATGATCTGGAGCTGGATCACAATAAGTAGAAGAGCACACAGACTAGTATACACACATGGACCTGGTTTAGTCCTGGTTTAGACCTGGTTTAGACCTGGACCAGTATGGAACCTACCTAGACCACTGAGGGATTACACAGATATAAAACCACACAGGAATAGAAGAAGAAGAAGAAAGTACTATCATTTAATGAGAGTTGATTGAGTATCGAGCCTGTATCTTAGTAGAGTTGGAAATTTTAGTATCGTGACAAGACTAACTTTGGACAGTGTTGAGAAGTTTACCTTTAAAATGTATTCCCCTACAGATTACAGAGTATATATCCCAGAATGTAGTTTGTAACGTAATCCATTAAATTACTTAAAGTGAGTAACGTAATCTGAAAACTTTGGATTACTTGATTTGCTGTAGAGAAGCAAAGACCAGGATATCGTAACATAAGAAGTTTTATCTGCTAAAAGACAATAAAAAGCCCAGACTTTACTTAACCGTATTAAAAATATTATTGATAAAAGAGGAGGAGACACGTCCACGCAGCATGGTTTAGACCTGGTTTAGACCTGGTTTTAGTCCTGGTTTAGACCTGGTTTAGTCCTGGTTTAGACCTGGTTTAGACCTGGTTTAGATCTAGTTTAGACCTGGTTTTAGACCTGGTTTAGATCTAGTTTAGACCTGGTTTTAGACCTGGTTTTAGTCCTGGTTTAGACCTGGTTTAGATCTAGTTTAGACCTGGTTTTAGTCCTGGTTTAGTCCTGGTTTAGACCTGGTTTAGATCTAGTTTAGACCTGGTTTAGATCTAGTTTAGATCTAGTTTAGATCTAGTTTAGACCTGGGGATTTAGTCCGAAATGTGAAAACAGGAAAATACCACCATGTAATCCATTTATTTCAACAAAGTAACTGTAATCCAATTACCACTCATTGAAACAGTAACTGTAACTGAATACAGTTACTCATAATTTGTACTCTGATTACATAACTCCAGTACATGTAATCTGTTACTCCCCAACGCTGACTTTGGATAAGCAAATATAATTCAGGATCATAATAATTTTATTTACAATCAACATTTGATTCCATTTCCAGTGAGGTTTTCATGTTTCATATGAGGTGTGTTTGGGACATGTCCTGACACGTCTTATTAAACGAGAGACACGAGGAGGGATTTGATGAGATTAAACACTTCCTTGTGCAGTTTAAAGTCTTTTCTCGATCCCGTGTCCTGCGGTGACGGTTCTGTGATATGTCTGTGATATTTTAGAGAGAGGAGCAGGGACAGAGAGAGGAGCAGGACTTGGGGCCCGCGGCGGTGAGCGCGTCTGGGCATGTGCGAACTGAACAGCTGAAGGAGCCGAAGGAGCCGTAAATGTCAAACCTGTTCAGACGCAGGGTTTATGAAACTCACACACACACACTTACACACACACATGTAACATACACACATGTAGCATACACACACACTCACGCATACAAACATGTGTTTAAACTCAGACGAACAACCACATGCATTCAAATTCACTCGCATACTCACACACTCACACACACACACAAAACACACATACATGCACACAGAGACATGCATACACACACATGCATTCAAACTCACATTTACACACGCACACACACATTTTCATACACACACATATGCACACACACAGACACACACATATGCACACAAATTCATATGCACACACACACACATTCATACACACACATATGCACACGCACACACATGCACATACACACACGCACACAAACTCACACGCACACACACACAAACTCACATGCACACACACACATATATTCATACACACACACACACACACACAAACTCACACACACAGACACACACACATATTCATACACACACATACACACACACACACACATATTATAAACACACACATTTGCACACGCACACACACACATGCATATACACACATGCATCCAAACATACATGCACACATGCGTACACCCGCATGCACACATACACACACGCACACATGCATATACACACATGCATGCACACACACACACACACACACACACGGATGAGTGGAAGTGCTGAGTGTAAAGTCATTGGGAATTTCAACATGACTTGGTTGACTGAAAATGTACAAGAAGCACGTCCTGGCTTTGATTCTGTGTCTCTGGGTTAAATGGAGTGTGTTAATCTGTTTTCTGATCTGTGTTATAATGTTTCCTCATCACAAACAGAACACACAAACCCTGCACATTTACTCTGAGGCTCTCCAACAGAACACACTCCACCTTGTGATGCCACGCCGCGTTACACCGTGTTACACCGCACACCTCCACACACCTTCACACACCTTCACACACCTTCACACACCTTCACACACCTTCACACACCTTCACAAGAATCACCTGGATCATTTCAGCCCTGGAATGGCCAACCTCGACTGAACAAAAGTTAAAGTTATGTGTTCACTTGAAAACTACCGCTTTATGACATCAGGTGGAGCAGAGCATTCTGAGCTTTGGATTTACTCAAACATATGAGAATGAAACAAAACACAACTCCAGGTGTGTTTCTGAGGAGATAACAACATCACATAAAGCTCACATGACTCAATTTTAGGAGTTTTAAACCGTCAGGAGCAGTGGTCTTAGCAGGAGGATTTTTGTTCATGTTTAAAGCTGATGGAGAAACCACAGGAAACACTACAGACACAGAGAGAGCATGCAAAATCATCTCTTATCTTAGTGTAACCAACACAGAACAGAACCTG